CAGCCTGGCGGGCGCCGCGAGGGCCGACGGGACGGAGCAGGCCACGCAGGGGCGCGTCGACGCGTCTCAGGCTCTGTGTGTCGCGAGTCAGCGCTTAAAATTACCCGAACTATTCTTTTTTCTCCCCCCCTCCCCCGGTACCGGAAGTCGAACTCCCGACCTTGCGCTTGCCAGGCAGGCGCTGTGCCGCTGAGTTTAATCTCCAGCCCCTTCTTTTTGTCTTTTTGAGACAGAGTCTCGCTATGCAGTTCAGGCTGGCCTTGAGCTCACTTTGTAGCCCAGGCCGGTCTCGGACTCGCGACGACCCTCCTGCCTCAGCCTCCCCAGTGCTGGGATTACAGGGTGCGCCACCACTAGCACACTATTAAGGTTTCTCTTTCCCAGAACTCGTGTGAGGACGAGTTTTCTTCCACACAAGGGGACCGCAGCGCTCTGAACGCGGGCACAGCCGTGAACTAGCTGGCTTCCGTGGGCAGCCACTGCGGAGGTGCGCAATAGTGGAAGGGAACGTACTTTTAGTGTTCACTTTCGAAGTAACTTTAAATAGACATGAAACGCGCTTACTGATAAGTACTTTGACACTTTCCCTCCGCACACCGACAGCGGTCTGAGAGCGGGTGGCCGGGCAGACGCTGTGAGGACCCGCAGGTGCCAGCCCAGCACGCGTGTGCGCGGCGTGCGCTGGCTGAACGTGTGGACACAGGCGTGAATCCTCGAGAAACGCTGAAGCTGCTGGCACAGCTCTGACATTGTCTGCCTCCTCAAAGGCCGCCTGTGCGGCGGGGCCTTCTTGTGACGACCCAGCCAGCCAGCGTCGCTCACCCTACGCGGTCAGGTCGGGAGGGGTTTCGAAGCTTCCTCGGCCAATCATGCAAGGGCTTAAAGTACGTGGAGATGGCGCCGGGAGAGGCAAAGGTGGCACTACTTACCTGGTCACATCCTTCTTTTTAAAGAAAAAAAACAAACAACTTTTGAGGGATGTTATGACACTCCGCACTCTGAGAAAATCAGTATCAGTGTGGAAGTTTTTACAGTGAGCCAATTAAAGACGGCCTGCAAGGCGATGAACTGTTAAAGCTTAGCTGAGTGCAGAGGTGCACTTCCAGCTGCTAGGAAGACGGAGGCATGAGGATTTCAAGTTTTCCCGAACAACTTAGTGAGACACTACCTTAAGAATAAAAAAAAAAAAGTGAGGAAATTCATCAATAAAAATGGACAGGCAAGTCCTACTGGATAAAAGCATCCATGATACCTGTACCTGACAAAGGACTTTCATGCAAAAAAAAGGATTCTTACAAATCAATACAGGGACAACACAATAACGAGCAAAATAATTGAGGAATTTTCAAAAGTTAAGATGTACAGATAGCTTCAATAAGCTGTATGTCATGGTTTGTGTCTGGATGTCCCCCCAAAGCCTCAAGCGGTCACGGGGTGGGCATCTAGGGTTTGTGATTGAGTCATGGTCCGATGCTGGGATTATGGGTGTGAGAGCTACACCCGCCCTGAGGCAGGTAGTTTGCATACAGTGGAAGGGAGGGAAAGAGACTCTTCCCGCGCCACTCCTCCCTCCCTTTTTTGCTACTGTAGCATTGCTGTCTTCCAGCTGCTAAGAACTGTTGCCCTGTGCCATGTGCCAGCCTGCCTCGGGTGGTAGCCACCTGAGTATGGACTGAAACCTCCACGAACTGTGAGCCAAATAAACCTTTCCTTCCTTAATCTTGGGTGTCAGGTATTTTGTCTCAGCAACGAAAGTAACCAAGACACTATAAAAGTTATGCTCAACCTCATGCATCACTGGAGGAATGCAAATGGAAGCTGCAAGTACCCTGAGGTACACACGCAGGGAATGGCTGACGTTGACTGAAGATATCAAGTTTTCCTTCCCCTTGTGGTGCTGTGTGTGCTAGGCAAGTTGTTTCCTGAGTGCTAACACTGGCCCGATAATACACAGTACTTATCTTGGTAAGGACTCAAGAGCACCTGGACCTCTGGTATCTTCTCGGTAGGAGTATAAAATGGTACAATCACTTCTGAGAATCATTTCTAATAAACACAAACTTACTGTGACCTGCATCTGGCATTACGTCCCCAGGGGAATTTTTAAAAAATCTCCACAACACAGGTTGCATATGTTCATAGGTTTATTCGTAATAGCCCCAAACTGTAAACAATCCAACTACTACCAACAAGAGAATAAACACATTTGCACAATTTCCCACTGCTCATTAATGAGTTACTCATTGCTGATGAACGCAACATGGACGGATTCCAAAAGCTTGCTGAGGAACCAGGCGCACACAGCATGTGCTGTGTGATCCCCTCTGCATGTTCACAGTGCAGCTAAGACACGGTAATAGGAATCAGCCTTGCAGCTGCTTCTGGGAGCATTCACTGAGGCATGAGGGGCATTTCCGGGGTGATGGAGGCGATTCCTAGCATCCTGATTTGGGTGACGGGAATGTGAGTTTTAACATTAGCCAAGGACTTACCAAACTAAGATCTGGACACTGTTATTGGACAGAACTGAAAAATCTGAAGAAGGTACTCACACATGTTCTGATAAACTGATGGGTTCCAGGAGGTGCCCCCTAAGCTGTACACATGTGCTAAAAATGTCTTGTATCTGCTTATGGCAACATTTTAAAAACGGGGGGAAAGATGGCGACCTAAAAGTTTTTATCTTCTCCTATAGTTGGATATGGGATCCAGATTTTTAAAAAATGAGTAAAGGACTCATTAATACTCACAAATTTTTAAAATTTGCTGAGTAATGAAACTGATTCACTGTGTAAGCAAAGCCTATTGAGGTTAACAATGTATTTGTATGAGCTAGGTATGGTGGTGCATGCCTCTAATCTTGGTACTCCTGGAGGCTGAGGCAGAGAGTTGAGGTCAGTCTGGGCAACTTAGTAACTTAGCAAGACACTGTCTCAAAATAAAAATATAAAAAGGGCTGAGGCTGTAGCTCAGTGTGAAGGTCCTCTATTCAATCTTCAGTAGCAACACTTTAAAAAAATATATATATGTGTGTGTATACATACATTTTTTTGATGGAGAGCTTGCACATATATAAAAGTTATATTACTTGTAGATATTGTATAACATTAAGTCACTGGCAAACCTAATCTTTCTGTTGCATATTTTGCTAATTTTTATGTTAATACTTATAATTCTAGATATTTTGGTTTAGCCGCCACTTGGATTAATTAAATTATTTTACACTTCATTCACCTCCATTTCTTTTATGAATCCTGGTTCTTATGACTGGAAATATTCTAGGTGACTGTTTTTTTTTTTTCCCCCCAGTACCGGGAATTGAACTCACGATCTCGCGCTTGCCAGGCAGGTGCTGTGCCGCTGAGCTGAATCCCCAGCCCCTAGGTGACTATTTCTACGGATTCTTCAAATCCTGTTTTAGCACAAAGACTTCCAAGCAGATGTGAAAGAAATGGTGCAGGATATTCCAAACGCTAACCTTCACACACGCCTTTCCCAAGATTAGTATCTCTGTAATCTTCTTTTGCCTCAAAGGTCTGAAATGATTGCTTTAAAAAAGGTGAATTATGTCTTCTTGAAGCCTAAAAAGTAAGGACTGTATCATGAATCTTTCTTTTGGTGTGAGACAGGGTCTTACTATGCAGTTCAAGCTGGTCTTGCACTCACTTTGTAGCCCAGGCTGGCCTCAAACTCGCAACGATCCTCCTGCCTCAGCCTCTTGAGTGCTGGGATTACAGGCGTGTGCCACCATGCCCAGCTCTTCCATCGTGAGTCTTAAGTCAATTTCTTACCTATAAAAATCTGGTGTTTATGTATCAGGGTATCGGAGATGATGCATTTATGCTGCACTTAATGTCTGCAATAACTATAATACTTAAGCCCCATTAAAATGAGTTTCATGGGATTCTGGTTGTGATTTAGTCATGAAATGTGCAACATCACCTACTACTTAATCGCTTATTTGTGAGAACTTTCACTGAATAATCTGAACGTGAAAGGCTAATCCTTCAGAGGCTGTTTTCTCAGTATGATTATTTCTGCAATTTTGCCAGCTGCCCAAGTAAACATTAGCTTACAGTTATACATGAGTGGAAAATAAAAAACATTTACCACACATTTCACTCTTTAAATTTTTCTATAAAAATATAACTCTTTATTAAATAACATGCACAAATATCAACTAGTCATTTATTAAACAGGTACGATTTAGAACAAGATTTAATGTAATACAAATCCTTAGGTACAATTTAGTATCTTGTTCATGATATCTGAATAGCTTAAAAAGAATCACTGATTAAACTGACCATCTTTTACTTTTCTTTCAAAATCCACACCTCTTAGGCATACACCAAGTTTTCCCCCAGCATTTCAGAGCATAGTACCTTTAGCGTCAGAGCCCTGAATTACTTACTTGACTGTGCATTTCCAAGGAGAGCACAGAGCTCCTGGAGGCAGGTGTGCTGGTGCCGGGCCTGTGCAGAGGCATCTGTGGAAGCAGAAGCCTGTGGAGCTCCAGCTGTCGAGGTGCCCAGGAAGCCGGTGGGGCCTGAGGTGAATCCCACAGGGTGGGGGAGTCCCGGGCACCAGCTTCCTGCGCACTCATGTGCTTCTCCACAGGCCCTGGCGCTGCTTGGACCATTGCAACAAAATGCTCTAGACACTGACTTCTCTCTTATTTCCTATCACATCAATCCTCAATAACCTGGCTTTTAATTTTTAATGATTTGCCACACACCCCATCACATTTCCTTTTAAGCAAAAGTATAAACAAACTTTGCATTAAGTTTTTCATATTAGAAAGTATTGCTTTTATAAATTAGCTTTTAATGTTCCCAGCCTTAATAACTTAACTTCAACAAAACCAGTGCTTCAGAATCTACCCTGCCTTTCTGGCCCAATGCGTCCAACAAAAAAGGCCAAATCTCTTACCTAAATTTCTAAAGAAAACTACATCCAACCTTTATAATAAAGTCCTTGCACTGTGTGTTTTCACATGTGCTGCTTTATTGCGCATGCCAAGTATAGTAAGAATGAAAATAGAAATCGATGTAAAAATGCAAAAATCCCTAAGCTTAATATGTACCTTTGCACTGAAAAACTTCTACATTCTGTCCCATTAGCTGGGATTTCCAACTTGCAAGCTAAATTTAAACTACTCCATTCCGTATACATTTGAACTTTTCTCTATCTGCATGGAAAACATCCAATATTTAATAATTCAAGAAAGCACTGTGGAAAGTTTGGTAAATTTTGTATCACAGATTTGTGATGGATTTTTACATTAGTCTTCCTTTTAAAATGTTTTGCAAGTTCAACCCCAGGTTTTGGATCTGAACTACTCCTGAATATTTAACCTAGATCATGTTATAGGAGAAAAGACTTTTTCTAAGTATAATGCTAATTATTTTATTATAAAACAACACCAAATCTTAATTATAAAATTTTGCAAATTATATGATTTGCTTCTTGATACAAGGAAAAATACAACATAGTAATCATTTTTTCATAAACATTTCAGAGATTGATTGGAATATTCCTAAATCTTTTACTTATTCTGACTACCCAATATCTTTTTTAAGTACTCAGTTTTTATATTAAAAGTGCAAAGGCTATTAAGCTTAAAACATTAAATTTAAGCAATGTAAAAAAGTTTTACAATGATTTAGCATGACCAATAAAATTTATTAAACATATTTACATATATTCACAAATTCTTTCATAGATGAGTATTAAAATAGACATTTACAATTTCAGAATTTTCGTTCAAAGGCATTTTTTGTTTTCGTTCCAGGGGAAACAGACTCTACTCTGAGAGGAGAAAGAGCTGTTTCTCTGCATGACTAATTCTAAGCGAGGTGCCACACAGGAAGCCGCTGCATCTACCACAGGAGACTGGTGTGGAACCCCTCACACTGTTCCAGGCATCAACTATGGACAGAGTTAGATCATAGACTGCATGCAGTACAACTCAGTTACAGGCTTTACAGGGATGGCGATGGAAACGCGCTAACGCAAACTCACGCATGCCTTAGAAAAGTGTCGCTACCTGAACACACGGCTATTACACGCCATACAAACTACAACTTTGGTCCAATAAAACATTAGACAAAACAGTTTTACAGCTTTTTTTGTACAAGTTTTGACTATCGATCCCTTTGTATACATTTTGACCATTAATTACAAGATGTACATTTGCACAATATGTATAAAATAAGTTATTAAAAAGGAAGACAATATTAAAACTTCCAAAAAGTAAACTGTACATTTAATTTACAGATATAATAAACGGGAGAAATTTTGTGCCAAGTTTTTCTTCCATGTTAGAAACTATTTGGTAGGAAGTGAATCTTTTATTTTACTGATACATTTTTTAATAAAACCTGAAAGAAATTCGAATACTAGTGGTTATTTTGTTATTTAAGAGTGCTAACAACTCCCAGCGCTGTTAGCAGGTGATCTCAACTTTTCAAATATCTACTCAGTCGACCAACATGCTCTAATGCAATAGTTTCCTTTCACCAGTATAAATAATAGTTTTCTGTTGGAAACTGTCTTTGGACCCAAGATCCAAAATATTTCTCTCCATTTCTTACAAAACGACAGTGTTCACTACACAGCCGACTTCATTCCAACCTGACCAGCTGTAAAGGCATCATTCAGTGTGTGTCAGAAGCAGCTTTCCACAGTGTGGAGTGCGCGAGTAGTCAGCTGGGTGAGACCATCACAAGTAGTGGCTGCTATATGGGAGTCAATTCAAAGTCGTCATTAACATCAACAAGGGGAACATAGAACTCCTGGATTTCGTAAATGCTGATAGATTTATAGGTGGCAGGGTCAAGTTCCTGGAGTTTGAGCTGCCATTCTAATCTCTGGACGGCATTTAAAGCCGCAGCTTCATGTTGTTGCCTCATTAAAAGACAGGTCTATTTAGAAGAAGAAAGAGTTAATCCATTATTCTGCTAAATTTGCTTTGTTTAATAACAATCCAATCTACAGTTTCCTTAGGGACAAAGATGGATACATTGGGAGTCTATTTCTGCTGTGCCCTGCTCTTTTCAAATGGCCAACTATTTCTGGGTCTGTAACTTCATCTTACGAACTCTGACTTGAAAATATCCTTTCAAATTATGAGCTTTCAAATAATCAAAGGGATCATAAAATCTAGGGAGAAATGATTTAAGATCTTGAAGTAATTTTTTTTTTTCTTTGTGGTTCCTGGGGATAGAAACCAGGGCCTCACGCATATTGGCAAGCACTCTATCCACTAAGCTACACCCCCAGACCTTTTTATTTTTAATCTTGAGACACAGCTTGCCAATTTGCCCAGGGAGGCCTGAAAGCTGTGATTCTCCTGCCTCGGTCTTCCTTGTAGCTGGGATTATAGGCATGTACCACACTGTACCCAGCTCAAATACTTTTCTTTATAGATGTGCAAAATGTATACCTTCTCTTCCCATCCTCCAAGTTACAGTGAAAACCACATAGGTACACTGGATATTAAGCAGAGACCCACAATGAAAATGGCTCCTTCTGTAGTAGTTTGAGCTTTTACACTACCTTACTCCTTACAGTGGACCTGCAGTCTTTACTTCCCTTCAGCCTTTCAACTGTGCTCCTGTGTGAAAATTCATGACTAACGAATAATTCCCTTCTTGATTATTTTTCCTTAGTTGAGCAGTAGTCTCTGTGTAGGAAGGGGAAGCATTCAATTAAACTGACGTCTAAACATACATACCTTTAATTTGTCAAATTTGTCATCCACATCCTGTAACCAAGACATGAACTGTCTTGCATTAAAGCGATCTCTCACCGAAGTTTTACTGTCATCAGACTGAAAGAGAAGGTTAGACATAGTTGGAAACTGTAATACAATAAACCACTTTAAAAATCTGTATGTCAACACAATGCCTTTCGCCATATATGCCCCCTTGTTTAGTTATGAGGGATGGATGTTTTGAAGAAGATAAATTTGATAAAGCTTTGTTTCCATGTCCAGTGTATACAGTTATTAGAACTCTCTGGATGTTGTTTTTAGTTATTAACTAAATAGAATCCTACTGCTGTGAGTCAAAGATGTTTCTCAAAAACACAGGTCATATGAAATATGTGCCTGTGACATCCTTACTGAAGTCAGATGATTTCAGATTGAATTTACAGTTTGCTATGTGTAAGGGAAAAAGTGTCGAGGCAGGAGACAGCTGCCTTTCAAGCTGGACCCACCTTTCAGACGAAGTGTTTGAATTAGTTCTGAAGACCCTCGGCACCCTGCATGTTTCAGCTCTCTCTTACTGTGCAGCCCTAGTACTTAGGTGCTCTCTGTTTCTGTTCCCTAGGTGAGGAGCAGCGCCTCTCTTCACTCTGGGAGAACTGCAGCTGTCCCGAGGACGCACTCCCTCCGACACCAAGCGCTTCTACCATGACCGCAGGACTAGCGAGTGGCCCGCAACCACACTCTCCGCATCTTAGCAACCACCTCGGCCTCTGTGGCCCTTACAGAAGATGTGCTGGTTTTCTGGGGGAATCTCTCTCTCTCATTTTACGAAGTGCACTTAAAATGGAAGGTGTATGAGAGGAGAGCAAGCGGCCTGCTCTGAGGGGCTGCTCTGGCGCAGGAAGTCAGCCTGCGCTGTGGGCCAGGACTCAGCAGGTCCCTGAAAACGCAGACATGTGTCCAGGGTGACTTTCCCTGTCAAAGTCACAGGTCCCATATCTTTGGATCTCATCAACCTTAACTTCAGTGTGAAACCGAGTGGTCTGGATCACTAAGGAAAGTCGGGGTAGATCACCAAAATCCCGTTACAGTGGAACATTTACATTGTTCAGTTTTAGTAGAGACAGTAAAAGCAAGTCTTGGGTAGAAATCCCAGAAAAGTAAATGTAATCTAAAGCAATAATTTCTTCACATTAATATGAGAAACATTTTCCTCAGAAGAATGAGTAAGTGGATCAGTTGTTTATCAGAAATAAATGGCTAGTGTAAGGGCACTATCCTAAATACATGCATTTTTGTGATTATCTGCTTTTATGATATGAACTAGAAAACTGAAGACCACTTCTTTTGGAAGCTGTACTTCTCCTCCTACCTTTTTCTTTCTGTGGTGCAGAGGCTGGAAGCCAGGGCTCACGCTTGCTAGCCAAGTGCTCCACCACTGAGCTACATCCCCAGACGTTTTTATTTACTTTGAAACAAACCTGCTCACTTGCTCAGCTTGACCTTAAACTTCTGATCCTCCTGCCTCAGCTTCCTGAGTAGCTGGGACTCCAGGAATGTGCCACCACATCCTGTTTCCTTCGAACTTCAGTGACTGTCCAACTTTCTTTTATGGAAGATTTTACAAATACCCACGGTGCCCTTTCTGGAGCACACTGAACACAGCACACACTTTACCTGAGAATCCAAGGGCACGTTGTATACTTCCGCGTCCAGCAAGACAGTGCAAGCACTGAACGGCAGTGTTTGATTTGCCAGTGTTCTTGCTGCTCGGTAATGAACTCGCAGAACCTCCTGTTCGTTGGACACAATCAGTTTTTCCTAGTTGAAAAAAGAATTACAAATAATTCTTCAATAATTTACTTTTGAAATAATATTATGAGTAGGTTTTTCTTCACAGTAGACTTGAGAAATGTAAACATGCCTAGTGTTATAAAAGTGTGAATACGGGGCTGGGGATTTAGCTCAGTGGCAAAAGCGCCTGCTTGGCAAGCGCAAGGTCGTGAGTTCGGTTCCCGGTACCGGAGAAAAACCAAAAAAAAAAAAAAAAAAAAAAAGTGTGAATACTTTTCCTTTCCAAAATTTGGTCTTTAAAAACTGTTTTGAAGTTCTGTATAGTGGCTCTCAGCATATTCATCAAGGTGTTCAGTCACCACCAGCCGCCTCCGGAACCTTTCATCACACCAGACGAAGACCTCACACCCACCACCTCTTCCCTTTCCCCACCTTTTGGCAACCAGTCTCTCTACCTTTTGTCTTTATGGTTTGACTGGCTCTGAACATGTAATGTAACTATTAGAAAGCGATATAGTATGTGGTCCTTTGTGACTAGCTGATCTGAGCACAAAGTTTTCAAGGCTGACCCATGTGGCAAGTACTGGCACTCATTCCTTTCTACACAGAATGCCATGTTTTGTTTAGGTATCCAACTCATCATGTGGGTCTGAAAGCAGCAGAATATGCCAGCTCAAAGCACGCTTCTCTGGCGTAAGGATATCTTGAGCTGAAGCTGCCCGAGACACAGCAGGTACAACAGCACTCTGACCTCCTTCCGCAAAGCAGAAGGAGCTGCTGTGTGGAGGATGTCCTCTCCTCAGGGAGGAGACATTCCTGTTACCAGACCCAGAAAGTTAAGGCCAAGTGAACTCTGGACAAACGGATGCTGCTAGAATGTCCTTCTCTTTCCCTTAGCTTGCTTCATGCAACCTAGCATAAAAGCTAGGTTTTGCCACTCTGTGTCTTTAGCTGCTTGTGAGGGTAAGTCATGCCAAACCCACATGAAAGCATAGATCTGTATGCTTCTCTCTTATTCACCTGCCTGTCAAATTAATTCTCGGGCCCAAGAAGAGGACCTGAGAGGGCACAGGTAATGCTTTGCCTCCTCTACAGTCATTATCTTTTTAGGCAATTATAAAAACTGCTGCTCAGAACGTTTATTCTCAAGTTTGTGTTTAGATGTCTGTTTGCACTTCTCTCAGGTGAAGCAGAACCGGAAGTGGAACTGCTGGGGCATGGGGTCTGTCTAACTTGACGGAGAAAGTTTTCTATAGCAGCCTGTATCATTTCACGATATACGCTGCTATAGTAATGTATAATGGTTCCAGTAATCTCTAAGGGTTCCATTTCTTTTAAACACCCTTCCCAGTGCTTGCTATTATCTGTCTTTTTGATTCTAACACATGGGAAGTGGTATCCCCCTGTGGTGGCAGTCTGCCTTCTATAATGAGTATTGTCATAGAAATAAACAGGCCGCACGCTTGTGTTAACTACTTATAAACTTCTGATCATCACAATAAACCCTATTTTAATGAAATGAGCAATCTTCTACATTCAGCAGAAGGGGAATTCCAGAGGCCCAGCTGCACGTATCAACCTATCCCGTTCCTGTCTATGCACTGTGCCATCTGGCAGTAAAGTGTAATTAAACATCAGTGGGGGTGGGGGACATAGCTCATCCGCGGAGCGGTGCACTCCCTAGCGTGTGCGGGGCCCTGGGTTCTAGCCCAGTACCAAGGAGAACAAAACAGGGGTAACCCTGGGACCTGCAGCTGCCAAGGTGAGCACAAAGGCAGGGCCCAGAACCCCGGTGCACGACGCTCACTGCCATGCTGCTGGCCTCGACTGCAGAACGTTAAGGGTGTGTCTCATCTTCTCCTTGGTGCCATGTTCCCTGCTCTCCCTGCACAGGACAAGCCTTCAGTCTTCCTCTGCGAGAGAACACAGGCATCTTTACGCCAAACACGCATCAGGAGAGGAAGGGTGAGTGGGACACAGCTCTGTGAGACCGTGACGAGCGAGCTGGGAACCAGCAGGTGGGTGGGAGATGGAGTATGCACTTGTGCGCTCTGGGCAGAGGGAGAGTCCCATCCCAGCAGAACAGAGCGGGTGAGACAGGATGTTGTCACACTCCTCAGAAGGTGGCCCGAACCACTGGTGGTTGGAGCCAGCAGGACGTTCAAATTAGAGGTGCCAGCAGCGAGACACAAAGTTATGGCCCCACGGTGAATGTGTTAGTACAGCACTCCGACGCCACCACCTGCTGCAGGAAAAACAACACTTCTTCACTTAGGGGCCTCACCCTCTCAAACAGCCTGACGCCTATGTACGGACTATTGGTGGTGGTGGTGGTGGTGGAATGAATCAGAAAAAAATCGTCTATGTTTTCTTAACTCCCACCTAGCCATTTCTTTCAATTATGAATGTAATACAAAAACCATAGCTGAATTAGAGGTGTCTATAGCTTCACCATCCACAGAAATGACAAATATTTTCAGTCTGTATTACAGTTAGTACAGGTAGTCTCCCATATCCTAATTTCTTCTTCAAAATTCCAGCAGTTTCCTTTTATCTGAGCCTCTACTTTGTTTTCCATAGGTTCAATCAACCGCAGTCAGAAAATATTAAATGGAAAATTCCAGAAAATATCCATAAAGTTTTGAATTGTGTTCCTTCTGAGGAGTGTGACAACGTCTTGTCTCACCTGCTCTGTTCTGCTGGGATGGGACTCTCCCTCTGCCCAGAGCGCACGAGTGCACACTCCATCTCCCACCCACCTGCTGGTTCCCAGCTCGCTCGTCACGGTCTCTCAGAGCTGTGTCCCAGTCACCCTTATTCTACCGAGCGAACTGTGATAGCCTGAAGCCTGAGAGTAGTGATACTGGCAACTCAGACAGGCCAGAAATGCAAGACACTCCTTATTTTAAGTGAAAAGGTGAAAGTTCTCAACTCAGCAAGCAAAGAAAAAAATATGCCAAGGTTGCTGAAGTCTAAAGTGATAACCAATCTTTAAGAAGTTTGAAGGAGGAAAAAAGAAACTTTTCTTGCTAGTTGTGCTGTTGTACCTTAAACCACAAAGGTTATGGCCAGTTTGTGCACAAAACGGGAGGATATTCTGAGAAATCACATTCACATAACTTTTACTATATTCTATTATTAGGGTTATTCTATTTTTATTATGTTACTGCCATTAATTTCTACTGTGCCTAGTTTAAAATTAAGCTTTACCATGGGGATATAGATGAAAAACAGTATGGCTTGGGTTTGATACTAGCCTAGGTTGCAGGCACCCACCAGGGTCTTAGAAAGCACCCTCCTGGACACGGGGCCAACTCTATTAATCTGCTGCTATGATACACAACTGCAGGTCTGGGTTGTGCCAAGAGCTGGCCAGGTATCAAGCAGTTCTGCAGGGAGTAGTTATTAAGCCACAAAATGGTAGAGTTCTTTGCTCTCACCTGTCACAGATTTAAGATGCTTTCTAGTATTTTGGAATTCTACATTGTTGGTCAGTGTGTGGAAGGTAGTGTCATTTTTGTTATCAGCTGAAAGTTTTGCTAGTTACACAGTTCCAATCAGCATTTTTAAATTAAATTTGATTTTTTTGAGGCAGAGTCTTGTTATGTAGCCTAGGCTAGCTTCCAATTTGTGATCCTCCTGCCTATGCCTCCTGAGTGCTGGGATTACAGGCGTGTGTATCACCACACCCAACTTCAAATAAGAATTCTTAATTGTCTGTAAGTTTTTCTGGCTTTCATAACCTCGAGTGTAAATAAGTAAGTAAATGAATAGTATGAATAAATGAATGTTATCAGGTGGCTTCAAACATACCTGATGGCTGAAACAGTTCCTGACACGCCACACAACCTGTGACTGCTACAGAATGGGTCACTCACAAAGGGCTATGCAATGCTGTAAGTTCTGTATCAGTGCTTTTTTCTTTTACTTGCTCTCTCTTTCTGTAATGCTACGGAATTTGTAGAAGAGGTTCTACATCTCCCTGACTGTTACAGGGACGCCCAGTACAAAAAGGGTTTGGACCTCGGTCCCGAGGAATTGGTCATGTAGGAGTCACAGAAGAGTACACGTGTACTTGTGTGAAGAAGGGGTGGTTATAGCTTACTCTGTACTTTCAGAGTTCTCTCACCCTCCTGGACGATTAAGGTCTTATCCTTGGGTTTTGGGAAATCTAATGCAAGGGCTCCCTTGAAAGCTTTCCTGACACTGGATGCCAGGACTACCTACTGAAGACCAGATACCAGGTAGATCTAAAAGCACAGACAAGCACAGCCTTTGCACCTCAGCCCTACAGTGGCTGGCTCACCAAGCACCAATTCCAAAGCCTGGAATCCCAATGTCCTCCTAGGAATCTACTTCTACAGTTCTACAAACTCAACAATTGGTAACGAGAAATTATTAGAAGCAATACACTCAACATGAACTGTAGTATGGGAATAGCTATCCTAAAATAGGGGTAGACATTTTCTCCTTAACTGGATGAGCATTATATAACAAAATCAAACTAGTCCCAAATTAGCTTTAAGAAACCCATTAAAGAAAAATTATAGACTATTTTAACAGCGTTAATTTTTTACATAAATGTATATTTAAACATATCTTAATAGAATTAATAAAAAATAAAGGAAAAAACAATACCCAAAGTGGTAACAAAGCACAGAATAGCAAAAGCATACTTTAAAATGTGTTGTATACCTCTTCCCCCATACTCTGTATCCTATCATTTAGATGTCTCATAAATACAAGTATGGATATGTCTGCCTCTTTCAATGCATTTACCTTAACTGTAAGCTCAAGAACAGAGATTAAATGAAATAAATGCCTCCAAAAAAACCCCCCAAAAACCAAAACCCAAACATAGCTTACCCTTTCAATACTGTGTTGCAAACGCAATTTCATCCTTACAACTTCCTGCTGCCGAAAAAGCTCTTTAAGTGGATCCGACAGTGAAGGTGGTGGTGTAATCTGATTTTAAAAAATATAATTAAGAATATTAGGTTTTATTTACCAATAATGGGTCATCCTTTGAAAATTAAGCCTTGAGGGGCTGGGGATTTAGCTCAGCGGCAAAAGCGCCTGCCTGGCAAGCGCAAGGTCGTGAGTTCGGTTCCCGGTACCGGAGAAAAAC